AGCTTGAGCTTGGCCTCCAATGGGGTTTTGAGAGAATTTTGGAAGAGAGGAGGATTTTGGATTTTTGATTTCTCATTGGATAATTGTATTTTGATATTGGAATGGGGGTAAATATGACACAGAAATAGTTTATATAATATCCTTAAAGTTCCCAAAACACCCTTGCATCATTTGGACTTAAAAATAACCGTCCAATTTGATTTTAACTGAAGCAGGTAACGTTGGGGAACAAGTTGGTGACACGGAGGTGTTCCCTGACTTCAGAAAGATAGGAGGGTGGGATAGAAGAGTCCGCGACAGCAGAATTTTGCCTTAGGGCGAGCAGGTCTGCGACCCGGAGCCATTCCCTCAAGGTACTATCCACAAGCTGCCAAGGCAGCTTCATGTCCAATCATTTGGGTCCTCCTCGAGGATTTTTAGGGTGGTTTTTAGGGAGTCGTACCTAAACGTTTTGACCCTAAACATGTTTATTAAGACACTAAGGTCACCTCCACTAATTTTAGACTCCAAACAACACACAAAAACAAGGAAACATACATGTACACTAGTAAACAAAAGACTAGTTTTTGGACGTCTTGGTCGTCTTTTGACATTTGACTTCAACACTCTATAAAACTAACTTCAAAGGCTTCATTTCATTATTTAAACAAGTTATTAAATCATAAAAATCATGTGAGGCTCTAAATCACCCTAATTCATTTTGAGGGTCCTAACACAAACCTTTGAAAAAGGAACAATCTTTTAGAAAGATCACAAGCTTTCATAAAAGTCACAACCTTTCTAAAAGTCGCAACTCTTCATACAAGTCGCAACTTTTGTTAAAATTCTTAACTCTTAATAAAAGTCACAACTCTTCATTTTTCATTCACATCTTTTAAAATACAATACCCCCCCCCCCCCATGATTGGGGAATGATTCCAAGACAAAGACATAGACAAGTATGTGTACTTTACAAGCAATAATTAGTTGCATTTCGATAAGTGGTTTTCCCTTGGACTTTACGTAGTGAATATATGTCAGATATACTTGGTCAATCGATAGATGCTATATCTTTGAACCGTCGAGCTCTGGTGTATACCTAGACAACCGTATGTCACCCAATTAACCCTTTACCATTTATGGTTCTTACAGTTATGTCCGTTTCATCCATGAACACCTCATTGTTTCATGAGTGTATAGAGAATAGAATTTTGACCATAATTCTCTTTGAAGCGTCTTACATTATACACTAACATATGTGATTTCTAACCGTGTTGTCACGTAGATACACTATTTGGTCAAATCTACCAAACTTAGCAAATCATTAAAAACATTAAGTTTAATTAACTAATTAACAATCCTTAATGTTGTATTCTTGTTCTTTAGCGTTTTCTTCATCGTGAGAATGGATTGAGTTGGTTGATAATGTCGAACTGTGAGTCACAACTTTGTTTTTCTTAATGAATCTAGCTTTTGGGATCTCTAGTCTGCTAGATAGAGTTACAACCATGATGACTTGTCCTAAGCCTTAAACCCATTCCCTTATATAATATTTAAAATTTCTCTCTAGTTAGGCCTTTTATTAAGTGGATCCGACACATTATCATTTGACTTTACTTGGTTAATTCTGATAATTTCACTAGAGAGTAGTTTTCTAATGGTATTATGTTGATTTCCTATATGATGAGACTTTTTTTATACATCATGCTCCATGCCCTACCAATTGTATCTTGACTATCAAAGTGTATGCATATTGATGCCAATGGTTTGGAAAAAAAAAAGAATATCTATCAAGAAATTTCAGAGTCTTTCAACTTATTCACCGACATTACCTAGAGTACCTAGCTTAGAGATCATTGTAGAGTTAGCGATACATATTATTTTTGGGAAAATTTTCAAGAGACTGCTCCTCTACCAAGATTAAATACCTATCCAGTCGTGAATTTTACTTCATTGTTCGGTGATCCAATTTATATCACCATATACTTTCAATACTGCTGGATATTGTTAAAATACAAGATGTAGTTTTGAGTATTTCTTAAATACTCCAAAACTCTTTTCATTGTCATCCAATGAGTTTGATTGGGATCACTCGTGAACCGACTCAGTTTTTTAATGGCACATGTTATATCTGATAGCGCACACTTTGTGATATACATCATACTTTCTAATAATCTAACAGAATTCAATTGTGAGTCACTTTCGTCTTCACTCTATTGAAATGCAAAACTCAGATTTATTGGAGACTTGACAATATTGAAATTCAAACATTTGATTTAGTCAAATACCTTTTCAATGCAATGAGACTGTGACAATGCTAAACATTATGAAGTTCTAGGATTCTTATACCTAAGATCGCATCAGCAACTCCAAGATTCTTCATATAAAACTTGCTTTCTAGCATACATGAATAGAATTTATTTCATTAGCGTCTCAATTGATGATCAACATATCACCAATATACGAACAAAACAATGACCTTGTCATTTTAATGTGAACACATTTATCACTTCCATCATTCTTAAATCCATTTACCAACATGGTTTGGTTAAATTTCTTATGTCATTGTTTGGGTGCATGTTTTAGTCCATAATGTGACTTAATAAGTTTGCACACTTTTTGTTCTTTACTAGGAACCAAAAAACCTTTGAGTTGTTCCATGCAAATTTCTTCCTCCAATTAAGTATTTAAGAGAGTTGTTTTTGCATTCATTTGATGAATTTGGAGGTCATATACCACAACTAATACAATTAACATCCAAATGAATGTAAATCTAGTTACTGGCGAGTATGTATCAAAAAGATCAAGACCTTGCTTTTTTGTCTTGCTTTATAATTGTCAACAGTTCCATCGACTTTAATTTTTCTTTGGAGGATTCACTTAGAACATTCCTGGAGGAAGATCAACCAACTTCAAATAGGATTTATTAAGATTGAACCAAGCTCACTATTGACACCATCTTTCCAAAAAAATGAGTCTACAGAAGACACAAGAAATATTACTGAATCATATTCGAAGGAAGTGGATGTCTATTTATATTTACTATGCCTTTGAATCTCTTTATTAAGTTCATTCTCATTTTGTTCTTTCCAAGGTTGTTCAGACGTTTTATTAGACTACTCAAGTCTAATTTTTCGGTCCATATTCTTAGGTCCTATTCTAATCCTTTTAGGAATAGGAACTTGGACTTTGGCTAGACACCCCCACACTTTGAAATATTTCAAGTTGAATTTTCTTCATTTCCATTTCATGTGGAATAGATTGTGTTCTAAGCAAACAATTTTTTTATTGCGTTTCTTCATAAAAAGACAAAACTTTTTGTTGTTCCCTTTTGCAGTAAGTATAGTTCACCCACATAAGTTTTGTAGTAAACCTGAACTTAAAAGTAGTGCAACCATCATTTCCTTCAAAGTTCAGTTTTATCCCCATTAGATTGATGTTAATAGGGCAGTAGTTTGATGGATAATTCTGCTTTTCAAACATATTTCTGCAAAATGAGATTTATACTCTCCACTCCTATCACTTCTTATCTTTTTTCCAACCGATTTTCAACTTCAATATATATTGTCTAGACGTTTCTATTGTTTTATCCTTACTATTAAGAAAATAGACATAGTTATTTCTAATGTAATTGTCAATGAAAGTTATGAGATACTTTTTTCCACCATGAGATGATGTTGACTTCATATCACAAATGCCAATGTAAGTCAATTCTAAGGAATTAAAATTTCTTTCAAGAGGTTTGTAAGAATGCACATCATACTTAGATTCCACACAAATGTAATTGACATGTCCCAAGTGTTCATGTCACAAACAGTTTGACTCAAGAAAGTAAGAACAAATTAAAATATTAAGTTTTAAAAGCTCTCCGCGGGGTAGATTTTTCTCACAAATATTTGTTCCTATTTCTTATAATTTTGTGTGATACAAATATTATTTAGAGTCATCACATTGTAAAATATCCTTTTTAGAAGGAACTTTCCATAACCTTCTATTTGATTGTTATAGAACTACCATGAACAAAGTTTCATTGGTCCAATAAGGTCAATATAATTCAAATATTTCTTTTACAAAACATGACAAATGACTATTCACCAATATTCATGTCTATACAAATTAGTTGTATCTAATAGACATATCTTTTTTGAAAAATCACAACATTTCAAGTGACAATTTTCCATAAAAGAGCACAACTATTTTAACAAGTATACATATAATTTGGTAGTTTCTTACTAGTCATGCCATATACTAGTAAATGAGAAACTCAACAACCACAATATCAAATATACTCTAAGAATTTTGTAGGTTTAACATAATACAAAAGTAATTTCATATCTTATTCTCCAAAATAAATTTGACACTAAGTCTAATTTTTTTTATCACAAGCAAAAAAAAAAATAACACATTTTAAATATGATCTCAAAAATATATTTTGAGTATTTGAAAATAGTTTTTCACAGTTTATCCAAACTACAGAAATGTCATCGCATAAAACCTCTTTTGGACATATTACTCTACGATAAAATTATAATGCTTCAATTCTCTTTGACAATCTTTTCATAGTGTAAAAGTTCATTCCCTCACTACTAGAAATTAGGCCTACGACAACAGATTTTTCAACAACACTTAAGCCACTATTACTATAGATGGTCTATTGTAACGGTTTGAGCCATTGCCAAAAGGATTAGATATTATTGCTACGACTAATTAATAAAGCCGTTACAATTGTGTGAAAACCGTTGCAATAGGCCCTTTATATTGCAACAGTTACTGTTATCGTTGCCATAAAGTAATCTATGACAGAATTTATTGTGAATATTACTCTATTGGAACAATTCTATATTACATCCCTCCATAATTTCCCTCTATTATTTTCGCTGACCCCGCCAAAAATTTTCATTTTATTTAATTATTAATTAATTTTTTTAAGTAAAATTATTTCTCTTTATCAATAGAAATTATACAAACATTTCCACAAGCTAGCAGAACGTACAAGCTCCTTTCCTAATTTCTCTTCTTTTATCTTTAATATTTGGGTGTGGTTAGTGTATGTGAAGTATTTCTCTTTTGTGGGTTTTTTTCATTAAGTTGTAGCTATTGTGGGTTTAATGTTTTGTTGGATTTATGTTGAAATTCATTGTTCTAGACCTATTTAACTTGAAATTGATGTTGTATTTCTTGTCCATGAGTTATTCAAGTTGAACTTTGGGTCTCTAATTTATTGGATTTCAAGTTGTAATTTTCTGAGTATGAGCAGTGCTACTGTTTTTGTTGAGTATTTGATTCAATTATCAGAGTTGGATAATTATAGAGACAGACTGAGTTTGGCTACTATTCTTACTAGAAATTGTTGTGAAATCGAAGGAAATAGAGGGTTGCAGGTTTGCTTGTGAAAAATGAGAAGTTTTTATGTTCTTTTCTTCAAAAACTGAAGGTTCTGTTCTGAAATTTTTGAGGTTATAGTTGAAGAAACTTCATTTGAACTTTCGAGATTTTGTTCTTGAATCTCTTCTTTTGTCTTTAGTATTTGGATGTTTTTTTTAGTTTAGTGTAGTAATGAACTTGGCAGAGAATCTCACTAATCAAATTGTAGTGTATAGTATCACAGCAAGCTCCTAGTTCAATCTATGGGCAGCTTCCTTGGCAAGAACTCTTTCCTTGGCCTTGGTTCTGGCATGTGACTTAGAGCCCATGATATCACCACCCGACTTCTTCCTGTTCTCTTGAAGTTAGCCTCAATGGCCTTCAAAATTCTGCTGAACTACATTTTGTCCTCATACTTCACAGTTGTCAAACACAAGGCTGAAGCAGTTTTCTTATGCACGATCGATCCTAAACGAGCTTTTCCCTTCACAATGCATTAAAAATTTCCATCTTTCTGCATAGCGTAGGAAGCTAGACAACCAACTTTATTGGGTCCACGTCATGAGCAATCACTACCAACTGAGCTTTGTTCTGCTCAATAAGAAAAGTGATGTGCTTAAGCACATGCTTCACAATAATGGGTTTCTTTGTTTCAGGAGTCTTTCCTTCTTCTTCAGCTTGAGCCCCTTTGTGAATTAGTATTTGGATGTGGTTAGTGTATTTGATGTATTTCTCTATTTGTGGGTTCTTTTTCATTAAGTTGTAGCAATTGTTGGTTTAATATTTTATTGTATTTATGGTTAAATTGATTGCTGATCTAGACCCATTTAAATTGAAATTGATGTTGTATTTGTTGTCCATGAGTTATTCTATTTGTGGGTACTAAAATGTGCTACTGGTTTCACACAAATGTGAAAGGAATTGAATATTATAGTAAGTTCTTCTTGTTTGTAATTTCAAGTTGAACTTTGGGCCTCTAATTTAGTGGATTGCACATTAAAATTTTCTGAGCAGGGCTATTGATTCTGTTGTGTTTTAATCTGATTTGAGTAATGAACCAGTGATTTAACAAGACATACTGGTAACAGTTCTCAAAAATGACTTATTTGTCTGCATCTTTATTTTCTCTGTTTACATATGTTGTTTTATGGGTATTTGATTTAATTATCAGAATTGGATAATTATAGAGACATACACTGTGTTTGAGTATTCTTTTCTCTAGAAATTGTTGTGAAATCGAAGGAAATGGAGGAATGAAGGTTTGCTTGTGAAATCTTGATATTTTTTTCTTCAACAATTGAAGGTTCTGCTCTGACATCTTTGAGGTTATAGCTGAAGAAACTTCAAGTTTGATCTGTTGAGGTTTTCTTCTTTAATCTTTTTTTCTTCCTTTAATCATTGAGGTGTAGTTAGTGTATTTGATGTATTTCTCCATTTGTGGGTTATTTTTCATTAAGTTTTAGCTACTGTGGGTTTAATGTTTTGTTGGTAGTAATGGTGAAATTGATTACTGTAGACATATTTCTCTTGATATTGATGTTGAATTAGTTATTTCATGGGTTCAAATAAAAGCTATGTAATGCTTGTTGTAAATTGAATTGTGATTGCAATATGTTTAAACTACATATTTTCCATGTACATTTTGAGATATGTTTGTTCCTGTGTAATACATTGCTGTATTTTTTATTTCATAGTTTATCATAAATTTGATTCTTTTTATCTGTTTGTGTCACTAGATATCAATGGATAATATAGATAGAAGTTGGATGAGTATGAGACGATGGAGTGATAAATATAATAGTGGAGTGAATAATTTTTTTAATAAGGCATTTCAACGAGCTTCAAAAGGCAATGAAAGTTATGCCCTTGCAAAATATGCATCAATCGTTATTGGCATTACAAAAATGTGGTGGAGGATCACTTGATTGTAAATGGATTTGTGAATGGATACAACAAATGGATTTTTCACGGGGAGAGAGTTTCCTCATGAAATACACAATTTTCATGAAGCCATGATGATATTGATGGACTACTTCATGACACATTTTGAAATATAGTGGGTGAAACAAGTCATGGTGAAGGAGAGAGAGAAGATCTATCTGAAGATGCAAAGAGATTTTTAAAATTAATGGATGAAGGGAAAAAAGAGTTATATCCAGGGTGTGAGAACTTCATTATGTTGAGTTTCATCATTCGGTTATACTTGCTAAAATTCCTACATGGGTTGAGTAATGTGGCTTTTACTGATCTGTTAGACTTGTTAAAAGAAGCATTCCCTTTGCTCAACTGCCCGACTCTTTCAATAAATCTAAAAAAATGATAAAAGATTTGGGTATCGACTATTACAAAATACATGCATGCCTTAACGATTGCATGTTATTTTGGAATGAAAATGCAGAGAAAGATAATTGCTCTGTGTGTGGCTCTTCTAGATGGTCAAATGAGGGTGATGACACGACAAATGCAACCTCTAAAACACCAACAAAGATTTTAAGGTACTTAGCTTTAAAGCCTAGGCATCAGAGAATGTTTATGTGTCCTAAAACAGCTGTTGAAATGAGATGGCATGATTCTGAATGACCTAATGATGGGAATTTGAGGCATCCTGCTGATGGAGAAGCTTGGAAGGATTTTGATTCTATGCATCCAAACTTCTCAAATGATCCTCGTAATATTCGATTGGGGCTTTCAAGTGATGGTTTCATTCCATTTCGAACCATGAGCATTTCCCATAGTACCTGGCCTGTTATGTTGATGAAATATAATTTATCACCGTGGATTTGCATGAAGCCAGAGTATACGATGTTGTCAATGATCATTCCAGGGCCATCATCTCCTAGACAAGATATAGATGTGTACCTACAATCATTAATTGCTGAATTGAAGGAACTATGGGAATTTGGGATAGAAACATATGATGCTCATACAAATTAAACATTTCAAATGTGTGCAACTTTATGTGGAAAATTAGTGATTTTCCAGTGCTATCAATGCTTTCCGGATGGAGTACTAAGGGAAAATTAGTGTGCCCCACATGTAACTACGACACATGTTCTCAATATCTCAAACAGAGTCGTAAAATGTGTTACTTAGGTCATCGGGCTTTTTTGCCTCGTGATCATCCATTTAGAAGAGACAAAAAATCTTTTAATGGAGAGGAGGATCATAGACCTACACCTACATCCTTGTCGGGCATAGAAGTGTTTGAAGAGTGGGTTGATTTTGATAATGTTTTTAAAAAGGCCAACAAGAAAAGATGTCGAAATAATGAGGGTTCATGGAAGAAAAGATCTATCTTTTTTGAATTACCATATTGGAAACATAATAAGTTGAGGCACAATCTTGATATGATGCATATTGAGAAAAATATATAGTTTGCTTGGGACTTTATTAGATATCCCAGGAAAGTCAAAAGATCACATTAATTCTCATTATGACTTGCAATAAATGGGGATACGAAAGGAGCTTCATCCAAGGAAAGATAATACAAATGGAAAAGCTCATTTAGCTAAATCTTGTTTTACCATAAAGCCAGAAGAAAAATGATTATTTTGCACCGTCTTAAAAAATGCAAAATTACCAAAAGGATTTGCCTCAAACATATCAGATCGTGTGGATGTGGGTGAGATGAAAATATCAGGGTATAAAAGCCGTGATACTCATTTTATAATGCATTACTTGATCCAAATTATGGTTCGAAAAGGATTGCCGAAGAATGTTTCATTAGCCTTGATTAGATTGGGGAACTTCTTTAGAACCTATATGCAGTAAGGTTATAAGGCGAGCAGATCTTGAGCCAATGCAGATTGAAATCAAAGAAATTGTATGTGAGTTTGAAAAGATTTTTCCTCCATCTTTTTTTGATATAATGGAACGTTTGGCTGTACATTTGGTTGATGAAATTAGAATGGGTGGTCCAATTCATCTTCGGTGGATGTATTCCAGTGAGAGAAAAATGTGTAAGTTCAAGGGTCTTGTTCGTAATCGACGTTATCCAGAAGGTTGTATAGCAAAAGGGTTTGATGTTGAAGAGTTCTTGATCTTTGGTTCGAGATACCTACATTATGGAGTGAAGACACCATTCAGTAGGTACCGAACTGAGTATGACGAGGTTTTTGAAAAAGAGGGAGATGATTTGTCCCTTTTCTTCCTAAGCTTGGGCATCCAGTTGGAAATGGAAAGACTTTTACCATGGATCTAGAGTTATCTAGTGAAGTATATCGATATGTTCTCTTCAATACTGGTGATGAAGAAGTGCAAGAATTTATCAAGTAAGATAAGAACAAATTAATTATATATAAATTTAAACTTTATTTTTTTAATTATGACAAGTTCATTTTTTTTTAATTATGACAAGGCACTTAAAACTTTAATTATAAATGTTGATAGTCAAACTTGAATTATTCATACTTGCAGGGAGCATAAGATGTTAATTGATAGTAATATTAGATCAAATGCATGGACAAGAGCAAAGAGTCATAGTCAGAAATTTGTCAAATGGTTCAAAGAGAAAGTTAAAAATGTTGAAGTGCCTAATCAGTTAAGATGACTAGCTAAAGGGCCTAATAGAGTGGCAACCAAAATATATAATGCATATTTCATAAATGGATACCGATTTCATACATTAAAACGTGATTACTCATGCAAGTCTCAAAATAGTGGAGTGACTTTATCAGCGACAACTGATAGTTTTTCTAGTGCTCGAGATTAGAATCCCATTGATGAAGAGGTTATATATTATGGGGCTATTCAAGATATCATTGAGGTTGATTATTACAATTGTTTTAGTGTGTACTATTTAGATGTGATTGGTTTCATCATAATGAAGTAGATTAATATGGGTTAACTCGTGTGTACTTCAACAAATTACGAGGTACAGATGACCCTTTTGTGTTGGCGTCTCAAGTGCATCAAGTATTTTATGTGGCGGATCCAATTGAGAAGGATGTTTATTATGCAAGGAATAAAGTGCCTATTGATTTGTATGACTCGGAGGAAGAAAATTGTCTTAATATTGGAGATAATTGAGAGAGCCAAGTGAAGACATTGGTCCCTCATATAGATTATCCGAAGTTGACATGGGATGGTCAAGAGACGATGTTCCTATTGATGTTGTTGATATGTCATCTAATGCTCAATTTTCAGAGGATACAACTATGGGAACGTCGGAAGAGGAGGATGACCATGATGATACAGATTGGGATTGGATGTATGCGGATGATTAATAAAGCACAAGTTGTGCAGAAAGAAGTGCCATAAGCACCTATGAATTCTTCCACTGTAGTAGCACAAGTTTCAGAGGAACAATTTCAACATGTTCCAAGAGAATCTCCTATTGTAGAGGCCCGTGATATACAAGACCAAGTGGATCAACAAACACAGAATTCAAAAGAAAATGACCTATCATGAGAACTAGGTAAAAACATATAAATTCACTTCTAAATTTTTTAAATGTACTGAAATGTAAAATCACTTAACATTGTTTATATGTTGTTTAACTTTGCTTCGTATATTGTAGGCCCTGTAACTAAAAAAAAAGAGGTAGTACAGTAATGCAAAGTGTACATGGGCGAAACGAGCGTAAGTTGGTTGTGTTGAATAGGTATAATCAACCCATTGGTCCTACTAATAACATGTTCCAAGAGAATCTCCTACTGTAGAGGCACGTGATATACAAGACCAAGTGGATCAACAGACACAGAATTCAGAAGCAAATGACCTATCATGAGAACTAGGTAAAAACATATAAATTAACTTCTAAATTTTTAAATGTACTGAAATGTAAAATCAGTTAACATTGTTTATATGTTGTTTAACTTTGCTTCATATATTGTAGGCCCTGTAACTCAAAAAAAGAAAAGAGGTAGTACAGTAATGCAAAGTGTACATGGGTGAAAAGAGCGTAAGTTGGTTGTGTTGAATAGGTACAATCAACCCATTGGTCCTACTAACGCTGTTGTAACAAAGTTGGGGAGTTTTCTTGGAACCTTGGCAAGGAATGCGATGCTTTGTCCTCTAAACATTCATAATTGGAAGAATATGGACACAAAAGATGATTTGTGGGACTATAATCTAGTTTGAGTTCCTGCATTTCCAATTTCAGTTATAAACATTTCATACTTTTTACTAATATAAAGAACAAATTACAGGAGAAATATGATATTCCGAAAAGTGCAAAACTGTGGGCTTTGGATGGAATTAAGAATGCTCGGAGGAAGTATAAGAATGACTTGTATCGAAAACATTGTATAAGAACGACTTGTATCGAAAACATTATAAGTCATATGATAATGATGATCTTCGAATGGAAAATAAGCCCAAAGATGTTTCAGAATTTGATTTTAAGGATTTTTTCAAATATTGGGCCTCTGAAAAATTCAAGGTTAGATTTATATTTTAAGTTCTTATTGACTCATTTTTTTTGTTTTTGATTCAATTTTAAGTTTACGTATAATTTACAGACTCATTTATTACAGAAAATGAGTGAAAGAAATACCAAAAATCGAAAACAATTGATGAATCCACATACTGCTGGTAAAACAAGTTTTGCTGTGAGACGCAATAATTTGGTACCGTTCTTGTGTTAATTATTAAATATGAACTTGTTGCCTTAAAAGATTTTTAATACCAACTCTATGTAATTAGGAAAAGGAGAAGGAAAGTCCCGACGAGGTGTCATCTAAAGAATTTTTTGTGGCTACAAGATCAACAAAACCTGATCGAGTATACAAGGACTCCAACAAAGATACAATCAGTAAAATTGTATGAATTTTACTAGGTTATAAGGTTGTTAAGATACATTATTTGTTCTTAAATACATGATTTTGAATTTGATTTGCATGCTGAAATGGAGAAACTGCAAGGTCAACAGAGAGAAGATGACGATAAATCATTTGATGCTTTTACATCAGTCATGGGAAAGGAACACCCAGGGAGTCTGAGATTGTATGGACGAGGAGTTACCAAAACTAGTTTGAAAAGGAAAGCGCTCTCTGAACCTTGTTCAACTTCTAATGATGAGAGGATGGAAAAAATGGAGGAATTAGAAGAGAGGATGCATCAAAGGATGTTGGAAATATTAGAACAACAAAAAGAAGCTATACACCAAGAAGTTACAAATGATATTCTTGGACGACTTAAGTGTATGTACCCAGGACTTCAATTAAATGCTGCACATTGGCCTCATTGGGTGCTCAATCACCATTAGAAGATATGCAACTGTTAAATCATCAATCTTCTAGCAAAAACAATCAAGGTATGAAAGTTATTGTTTTTCTTCTTCTTCACTTCCACAGTAGCTTGGCTTGAATGTGTTGCCTATGTCTATATATTGATGTTGTTTCTGGACTATTTCTATGACTATCTGAATGTGCCTCCTATGTCTATGTATCAATGTTGTTTTTGGACTGTTTCTGTGACTGTTTGAATGCGTTGCCTATGTCGATGTGTGAAAGTTGTTTCTCGACTATTTCTGCAACTGTTTGAATGTGCTGCAATATATGTCTATGTATCAATGTTGTTTCTGGATTGTTTGTGCGATTGTTTGAATTGCTGCCTCTTTCGATGTATCAATGTTGTTTCTGGACTAGCACAAGTGTGGCATGAATTAAAGTATTGGACTATTTCTGCGACTTTAGAATCTGGATCCAAAATAGTTGCTTTTGCTGAAAGTCTGTATGATGTTCTGTACGATGTTATGGAAAGTTATAACTTGTGTGCTTGCTGTGTGTGTATGTGTGTGTGATTTATGATGTTTTTTTAGTATAGGATCCATTTCCAAGTATAGTACAGGTTTTGGAACTTCATGTAGGTTCATTGTGTTGTCTTTTGATACTTTTTTCGTGGTAGTAGATTGTTTCTTTCTTGTCTTCGTTATAAGTGGTAACATGCATTTCTTTATCTGTTGAGTGGAGTTTTCAGATTTGGATTTCCCTTTTGAGTTTTCTTTCTTCTTTCATTTTAAGGTTTGATCAAAATGTGATGAATAGGAGAAGATAGTTATGGATCTCGAAGTCCTTTCAACGATTTCTACTTCATGTACTAAACTCATGCATTTTCTTCTGTTAGGACCAAATCCTTTGTATAAAAGAGAGTATTATGGGACCAAATCCTTTCTACTTCAAGAACTGATCAAGATATCTTTTTTCTTTTCATTTTATTGAAATTTACTACTGATGAGTCTTATGAGATTCTTGAGTTTTTCAATATATATTAGAAAATTTGCTTCTAGCTCATGTTCTTTAAGCAATGAAATTGAGTACTTTAATTTTATTCCCTCTCATCCATAGCCTTACACTTACTCTTATCATATTCTTCAGTTTTCTTGAGATTATTTTTATGTTATTATATTGTTTTGTTGAAGAATGATACTATTAATGTAAATTACAGTGTTAACTTTTGTCCCTTGCTATTAAATTTCCTTACTCTGGAAATTGTTTGGTATACTTTGGTCCTTTGTTTTGTCCCTTAATAAACTTCTAATTATGGTTTTTATAGGTGGAGAAGATAACCAGGTGGAGGAGGATGAAAGTAGTAGTGATGAAGACCTTACTTGATATATTTGAAACTTAATTTTGTTAAGCCGGAGGATGATGAAAGCATTAGAATCTTATTAATTTAGATCAATTCTCTTTTGTTTCTTTTCATTTTGAGTCTTTTGTTAAGAAACACTCTTTTATTTTAATATCTATTAGTATGGAAGTACAAATACTGTTTTGTTTTGGTATATTTTACTTTTATGGATATTGTGACTAGGATATTTCAAATTTTATATATATATATATATATATATATATATAATTTCACTATATATAATTTGTCTTTTCTTTTCATGATTTGATTTACAGAACTTTTTATAAATTGTTGATTTCGCGTTTGGGAAAATCAATATATTCATATAGATTAGTTACAATAGAAAATAAAACTGTTGCAATATCAATAACAATTGTTTCCATATTATTTAAAAAAGTGTTACCAATATGAAGAAGTTATTGCAACGGACTCTATTGCAACACTATCTAACAGTTACCACAACTCCTAATGCAACAGTTCTTAACAGTTACAATTGTTGTAATATTATAGTGCCTATAGATGAAAGGAAAAATGTTGCAATAGAGGCCCCAATAGCAACAGTTTTGAAAACCGTTACACTACCTGTTACAATAGAGCTATAGTAACGCGAGCAGATGAGACGGTTCACAAACGTTGTTGTAGCTCTATGGCAACAGTTTGTTGTCCTATTGCAACACATACGAAACTGTTGTCGTAGGCCTAAATTCTAGTAGTGCCTAAAAGTACCTATTCCAAGCACAAAATCACACACTTTTAAGTCATTGGTCTTTCCCCCCCTCCCCCCCCCTATTACAGTTAGACATACCACTTAGTATTTAGAATACTAATAATAAGGACAAATTTTTTTGTATAATTTGTTTCTGTGTAGCAATGAAGTTTGTAGATACCTAAACGTACAACCAATTGCATAGTCCAATTTATCATTGTAGAAAACTATAACAGTTTTTAATCTACAACAATTAGACACAATCAAATTCACAAGGAGTACAAAACTACAAAAAAAAAAATTCTGCAAACAGAATAAAACATGTTCTTAGATTATCACATAAAAATATTTTTCTTTTCAAATAGTTTTTCAACTATAACATTTTAACATACTATTTTAATTTATCAAACAAAAATATGCATATCTCATTCTGCAAACTAGTGAATTTTAGACACAACACTATTTACCAAAGAAAATTCATTGAAAAAACATACGAATTGCAGAACATTTTTCAAAAACACACATGATAAATATCAAAACTGTTAACCTTTAGAAACTATTTTGCTCCTTAGATAAATTATAAGAAGGTTACCTGTAATCTTTAACTGGAATACCTTTGCTTATTCTAGCAGATTCTCACTTTGACCTTGCTAAATAAATATCGAATTCATGAGAACTAGTACATTGATCTTTAACTTCCATGATCTGTTTCCCTCAATCAGTAGAATACAAGAAATACCAATAGTACAATAATTTCCTTAAGATTGTTGTTCATCTTGTATTCCTAAGATACTTAGAACAAAACTTTGAAGAACTTGGTAAGAAACAACAAAGTTTAAAGAATATTTCACAACTAAAAATTAAAATAAGTAGAAATAATAGAATCAGAAATAGATTAGAAACAAATACAAAATATTTTTCTTAAAGAAGAAAATTGATCCTACTGAATGCAACTTACTCACAGGTGTATTGGTACCGAAAATCACGGTGTCAACGAACCATTCAACGGCAGTAAGTTACACTTAGAATACTAGATTTAGTAATATTAAAAGAAGTCCAAAAAAATTGGTTCTTAAAAAGAGAGGAAATCCCTCACTTTATAAAAAACAAAGGATAGTGTGAAAATGTTGTGACTTATCGGAAATGTCACAAACCTTTGGAAAAGTTATTCAGAAATATCACAACCTTTTATAAAAGTCACAATTTTTCATAAAGTCGTAACTTTTCATAGCAAAAGTTGCAACATTTCTTAAAAGTCGCAACTCTTCATAGAAGTGGCAACTCTTAATAAAAGTCGCAACTCTTCATTTTTCATTCACATCTTTTAAAACCTAACACAAATTGTTTTAAAAAAAATTGTATACTCAAACATTGATATAAAGTAGTATCACATAAACTGCAGGAGTATTATTTTTCTTTTACCCAATAAATCTGGGGTGCTACTTAAAATAGAGAAAGTCAAAGTCTAACTTGAGAATGTTATAACACTGTGGCTAGGGCTGCTTTCATCCTACGCGTCCTTCCTAGTGTATCGGAGATATGAAACGAGCGCCCCAAAAAAGAACGGAAACTTGATTGGTATATTCTATAGTACTGAGTTCATTAGTCATATATAGTTAAGGAGGATGGGGTCAACCTCTTTCTTGACCCGTGACCTCAGTGTTTCACTGATATACAACAACCTATCCTGAAAGACCACTCTTTCGGGTAATAGTTGATATAATGATATTCCAACAATTTTGTCCAACTTCTCCCTCAGTTTCATTTGTTTTCCTATTTTAACATGGTATATGAAGGTTAATAAATAAACAAGATTTTTATATCTTTTGGTTTTAAATTGAAATATCTATCAAAAGTATAAAAATATCTTTTAATATTTTTATACCAAACATGTTGTAAATACTTATCGAAAATACCTTCATCATGAACACTTGTACCAAATTCATCAAACCTTATGCTTTACCACGAACTTTTTCAGAAACTTCCCAAAGCTTGAGGCTTGTCGAGAGACATTGTCCTTAAGGATATTTCACCCGATATGGGTGTATTCCCCAGGATTCAACAAGCTCTTCTAGTATAAAACTAGGAATCAAAAACCGACAAAGATTTTTAAGAACAAAACCCAACACATCAATAGAATATAGTAGGAAAGATTTACTCTCATAATGTATATTGTTTTTCACATATTGTGATAGAGGAAGAACCCATTTATATGAAAACATACCTAAGCCAAAACGCTCCATCGGTTACAAAAAAGAATAAATGCCAATAAGGGCAAAAGATTTGAAGGTCATTTATTTTGGTTAAAATTAACAGTATTCTCATCCGTTACCCATTCAAGAACTAATAATTGGATCGATGGAAAACTAGCGTTATATTTAGATTAGGAATAATTGTCAATCAAGGGCTACTATTTATGGAGGGGAAATATTTAGGACATAAATAATAATCTCTTCCAAATATAATAGGATATAAAATAATTGTTTTGAGGTACATAATATTTTTCCTAACACATGTCACGTGCAAAAATTGAAATTAGAGATGCTTAAAAGAACTTTTTGTTTTATTTAAAAAATAAAATAAAATAGATTGTATAGTAGTAAACGTTTATTAGTTGTTTTTGTTCCTACGGATGTGGAAGATATGTAAGTAGGTTTGGTGGGAGAATAAGTAGGCAGTTTGTTACGAACAAATCAAGATCTGTATTCAAAGTAAGAGATGCGATCCATTTTGTTTGCTTTCTATTTAAACAGTTAGAAATTTATAATGTTATACCCTATTACTCTTCTTTAACGTTGCATTTTGTAAAACACCTGTAGTGAGTTTAAAGGTTGAGTGATGTCGAAGCCAGCAGAGATAGTATGTTTCGGAGAGATGTTGATCGATTTCGTTCCTGATTCTTCTGGAGTCTCTTTAGCAGAGTCTACTGGCTTTCTGAAAGCCCCGGGAGGTGCCCCTGCCAATGTTGCTTGCGCCATTACCAAACTTGAGGGGACCTCTGCCTTCATTGGCAAGGTACCTGCTACTTCACTCTTTCACTTTTTGCCAACTCAGTATTAACAGTTGCAGGGGCGTAGCTACAGTGAGGTGTCCAATTGGACCCCCTTTGTAGGAATATAATATCGCTTTTATAAGTAAAATGATACATAAAGTGATTAAATAACAAATTTTGGACACCCTTGATAGAATAAAGTGTTGTAGACCAAAGGTTTTAAATGTCTTGAATGAGCCCTAGTGGACACCCTTCGTGAAATTCCCGACTCCAATTTGCATTCTAACCTTTATAAGTAGGTTTATGTATGCATAATTTGTTATAAAATTATGAAAAACTATATGTCTCACTCCCTAAACTACTCATAGACATGTGAATCCTTTGAACTCTCCGACAAAACAAAAGTTTTTACTTATTTGCAAGTTTTCTATTATATGTTCACTTTTTCTACTTAAACTATAATCAACATTTTATCGAAACATTCTATTATATGTTCGCTTTATCTACCTAAAAATCCCACCATAGCCTGAGTAGGAAGGGAGACAATGGTGAGTTAAGATGTGTTTTGATAAATATTTAATGATAGATAATTAACACATCTGATAGTTCAGGTGGGAGACGATGAGTTTGGGCGGATGTTGGTAGATATATTGAAGAGTAACGGAGTGAACAGCGAAGGAGTGTTGTTTGACAAGCATGCAAGGACAGCTCTAGCGTTTGTGACATTGAAGAAAAATGGAGAGAGGGAGTTCATGTTCTACAGGAACCCTAGCGCGGACATGCTGTTGAAGGACTCTGAGCTCAATTTGGGTCTCATCAAACAGGCTAAAATCTTTCATTATGGTTCAATTAGCTTAATCACCGAGCCTGTCAGGTCCGCTCACATGGTTGCTATGAAATCTGCCAAAGATGCAGGTGTCCTACTTTCATATGACCCTAACGTTCGCCTTCCTCTCTGGCCTTCCCCTGAAGCTGCCAGAGAAGGTATCAAAAGCATCTGGAATGAAGCTGATTTCATCAAGGTTGCTACTCCATCTTCTCAATGAATATACTATGTCAAAGTGTACGTCTCGATATATTTAATGAATAAATGTGAATTATTCTATGATTGAAGGTTAGTGATGATGAGGTAAATTTCCTCACACAAAAAGACGCGGACAAGGAAGAGACTATAATGTCGTTATGGCATGACCGCTTGAAGCTTCTTGTTGTTACTGATGGAGAGAAGGGATGCAGATACTTCACCAAGGTAACGTGTTAATGTTTACCTTTTTTTTTTCCTTTTCATTTTGAATCAAAGTCTTGATCATGAAATGTTCCTTTATTATGATGCACAGAGTTTTAAAGGAAAAGTGAGTGGTTTCTCTGTTAAGACTGTAGACACCACAGGAGCTGGAGATGCTTTTGTAGGTTCCCTTTTGGTTTCCATTGCCAAAGATCCATCAATTTTCCAGGTATAATTTGAATCCTTCACTTCCACATCCCCTTTCATTTGCTTTCTTATTCAAACATAAACGTTAGCATGTTTATTTCAACATGTTTTTTTCTCAGAAGAACTCCTAGGACCTAGTTGAGTAACTTGCTAAGAAAAATACTTTAGTTGAGTTACTTAATGAGAAAAAAACTTTAGTTGAGTGACCATCTCGTATGCTTCCTTATTCAAACATAAATTTAGGATGTTTATCTCAACTAGAGGGTTTTTTCTCAGAAGAATTCGTAGTTGAGTAACTTTCTGAGAAAAAGAACTCATAGTTGAGTGACTTTCCGAGAAAAAAACTTTAGTTGAGTGACTATGTGAGATATTATCTCTTAAAATTGACATAATACATAAGCATGATCCTTAACATGACTCCAACTGACAACTATAACCTTTAACTTTGGGTGTTTAGAAGTAGACACTTAAACTTGTACAAAATTGAAAAAATAAACATATTAGTCCTACCTGGCACCTTACATGACAATTTTGTGTGCTACGTGACATCTTACGTGTATTATGTCATGTAGAACACGTGTGTTTACTTGTTTAATTCTATACAAGTTTAAGTGTCTACTTGTGCACTTCAAAAGTTGGAGGCATAGTTGTCAGCTGAAGCCAAGTTAATGGTCATGTTTATGTATTATGTCCTTAAAATTTCATATATTATTTCACATTTTTTACTATCTATTTTCTTCATTGCTTTGAAATGTTGAGCTTTTTCAAATGACTCATGTGCTTGTGTAGGATGAAGAGAAATTGAAGAAAGCCTTGAAATTTTCAAATGCGTGTGGTGCAATCAGTACAACTCAGAAGGGAGCCATTCCAGCATTGCCATCTACAGCTGATGCTCAAGGACTCATTGCTGGCTCCAAGGCTTACTAAACATTGATTCTTACCTAATTATCATTTTATTTTTATCATCTTCTCTTATTTTCAATTCACACCATTTCTCCAAATTAATAAGTTCTGTAGACAATTTATTTAAGCTTTAAAGTAATTATTCCTATTCTAATTTCATCGATAGGCTTGTCAGAATTAATATTGTTTCAATTCGTGGTTCGATAGGATGTATAAGAATAATAATGCTACATAGAGTGTATTAGTAATGATTTTATTAATGGAAAAGGGTCAAAGTGCCAATAAACTATTCGAAATAGATCATATTAACCCTTAAATTATATTTCGGCTCAAAACTATCCTTACCGTCAAACTATTGGGTCAAAAATGTCCTTATTAACAAAAGTTGTTAACTGTCATGTGGATGTCACATGGATGCCACATTGCACGTCAATTGGATTCCACTGGCACATAAAACTAAACGGAAAAGGGTCAAAATACCCTTAAACATCCGAAATAGCCCATATTTTACCCTTAGACTATATTTCGGTTCAAAACTCTACTTACCGTCAAATTATTGGGTCAAAATTACCCTTCTTATTAACGGAAGTTGTTAAATATCATATGGATGCTACATTGCATGCCAATAGGGTTACACTACCACATTGACTAAATCTATAAATCCTAATTACTCTTTTCCCTCTCTCATGTCATTATTTTTCAAAAACGATTTCACCCTTTTCCCCTAATTTCGCGTCTAGGGTTTAACAGTTTTCTTCGTGGATGAGTTTCAAGTGGATATTAGTGGTTGTAGGTTTGTAAATCTTTGTTCTTATTTTATTATGTTTACGATTTCAAATCATGATAGTTAAGATTATACAACTTTTCCCTCATTTCGCGGCTAGGATTTCTTAAGTTCCTTCAGAGCTGGATTTTAAAGTGGATATTCGTGATTGTAGGTTAGTAAATCTTTTTTCTTATTTATTATGCTTACGATTTCAAAGCATGCTAGTTAGAATTTCACAACTTTTCTCGTATTTCGTGGCTAGCGTTTCATAGCTTTTTACGGGCTGGGTTTCAAGTGGATATTCGTGGTTGTAATCATAATGAAATAAGAAAAAAAAATTACTAACCTACAACCACTTTTATGAAAAAAATTGTGAAACCCTAGCCGTGAAATGAGGGAGAAGGGGTAAAATCAATTTTGGAAAATAATGAAATGAGGGGAAAAAAGTAATTAAGATTTCAGAATTTAGTCTATGTGGTAGTGGAACCCTATTGGCGTGCAATTTGGCACCCAATGACATTGAACAACTTCTGTTAATAAGAAAGACACTTGTGATCCAATAGTTTGACGAAAAGGGTAGTTTTGACCGAAAATATAGTTTAAGATAAAAATGAGCTATTTCGGATAGTTTAAAGGTATTTATTACCCTTTTCCTTTTAGTTTATGTAGCAGTTGCACGCACATGACATTTAACAACTTCAATTAATAAGGACAATTTTGAACCAATATTTTGACGGGAAGGGTAGTTTCAAGTCGAAATATAGTTTAAGGAAAAGTATGAGCTATTTCACATAATGTAAGGGTATTTTTGACCCTTTTCCATTTTATTAATTATGCTTTCATTTATCATGCCGGATGTTTTTATGCATTATTTGATTTGATATATTGAAAATAACATATAATGCATTTGTTTTTTAAAAAGTATTTATTCACACACCCTCCACAAATATATATGGTGAAAAACATGTAAAAAAAAATGGTTTGGGCATTTGAATCTTTAACGATGCTAACACATACATCAAAATCTTTTGCATTACTAATATCATGAAATTTCATGCATCATAGTGTATAAATAGTGTAAGCATTAGGTATATATAAATCTAAGAAGTATACCAAACTAGATAGTATTATACAAAGCTAATGCATGCATTACTTCTCCTAATACACTCGATCAAGCGACTCCTTACTGTTAATATGAATTGCTTATAAACTATTCATTTCCTGTTATATCCTTAATGAGTAAAATTTTCATCTTCCGAGTGTGTTTGGTATGACGAAAAATATTATCCATCAAAAATATTTTCCTAGAAAATATTTGCTTGGAAATAAGTTGGTTTCTAACTTGTGTTTCTCATGTTTGGTTGGTGACTAAAAAAAATTATTTATCAAAAAAATATTCTAGTGTTTTGTTGATGAATGAAAAATATTTTCCGTAAAATATCCTTTATTTGTTTATTAGAAAGTAGAAAATATTTTTTAATAAAGTAGTTTCTAACCCAGAAATGACACGATCCAAAATCAGACCATGATGACGCTTAGTATAATCCCCTAGTAGGTAAGTCAAAACTCGAAACTTGCAAAAGTTAACGTAAAGATAAAGAAAAAGCAGTAACAGGAATAAGGATACAAAATAGGACCATATATAAAATCATAAATTCAATACACAATATACAATAAAGGCCCAACAGTGACCAAGAAAGGCACGGTAATACAAGAACCAACCCCCTGACCTAGTGTCATCAGTACAGGAGCATCTAAGTAAAAACTAGTTATACATACAAGTATGTCTAATCCAAAATACAAAAATATAGACAGGTAAGAAGGAAAAGCAATAAATCTTCGGGCGCCAAGAACTCACCACAATCTGAATCTGAGACGGCCAGGAGAGATCCAATGCTCACTGAGAATGACTCATACTAGAAGCTGCACCTATAAAAATGATGTAGAAATGTAACTTGAGTACCATAACTCGGAATACTCAGTAGACATCATAGGCCGACCGAACTCAAAAATATCAAATATAGAGAGAGTAGCACAATAATTTGAATATTACAATGAAAATGTTATATAATACAATAACCAACTATCGAGAAACCAGGAAAACACCAACACAAAATAGTGAGCAGGAAACACTCAAGTAAAAGAAAATCCCAACACACAGAATAAGCCAGACAACAGGATGATGCGATGCAAGTGATGATTACTTGAAAGTAGAAGCCTAGAAAAAACTTCAAATTGTCTGGAACACTCATCAACATGTGCAACACAATTTAATATAATTCTGATTTGAGTCAACGGGCCACCCAAAATATACATCAAGCTTATCAAAGCAAAAGTAACATATCATACAAACTCATAAGTATTCTTGTCATTTTGAGTCATAAAGATCCCAAAAATATTGTATTTTCCATATAAACTCATTTTTCCTTAATTTAAACAGTAATCTGCCCCTTCAAAGCTCAACAAGCGGGAAAAAAGCGAAAATGATTTTCCTTCCTCAATATTGACTTTCCATTTTTTTTTCAAGAATAAACAAGTCTAAGTACAATTATCAAAAATCTGCTATCGTGACAACATACACAATCCAATCAAAATCAACATAGAAACAACCATTTGGGTAACACCTGACACAACATAGACTTACTAACCTGGAACTCTAGAAAGTTCAAACTCACGGCCTTAGGCCTTAAAATAAATAAAAGCAAAGAACTGAAAGGCTTGAAAACATAACACAAGCACACAATTATACCAAAACAAAGAAACACACGGAAACCTAAATTTCATGCAACCTAAAAGCATTTCTAAAGATACTAATTGACACTAAGGACAAAGATCAACCTAAACTAAGATTTTTTGGCTAAAACAAAAGCTAACCAACCCGAAATGGCAATATAGCATCTAAAAATCATGTAAACCTAGCCCTAAAATCTTACCCAACAATCAAAACAACCCAATATTCAAATAAATTAACTTAGATAAGTCTAAAAAAGGTGAAACCATAACCTACCTCAAGGACAAAACTGCACCTAAACATCTACTCTGGCACTTTTCTCTTTCGAAGGGCCTCTAAAAGATGCCACATCATTAAAAACATATCAAGAACATCAAAACAACAAAAATGATACCCATATCAATATAGAAATTTGAAAATGTAAAAGTTACCCAAAATACAATTGTGGAACTTAGGCTTGGAATCATCAAATTACTTTGTCACAATGTCTCAAATAGCTCAAGAAAATTGTGCCTCGAAGATAGACACAATTCGATCATCAGTTGAGGAAAAAAATCCCCACTAATATTTAAGCTCAGAGAATTCAAAAATGGAAAACTAAAAGAGAAATATTTGAAACCAAACAACTTCAGCAAAAGATTTATCGACCCCGAGGTATGCCCACTTAATTCACCGATACAACCCAACAAATACTACTAAAAATCTCCGTGAATTTCTCCCAAAATTACCCCAAGACTTGAGTCTTTTAGACCATCTCCAACCCAGTTCTCCAGAACTACTATTCATACTCTCTATTTCACTTTTTCATTATTTTAATATTATTTCTATTAGTACTTTCTAATTATCATATTATTCTTTATATAATTTTATTAATTAAATATCTAATATGCATAATTTTTTTTAAATGCAGTATAATATTTTTAAAAGATATTATTTAGTATATACTACTTAAATTTAAATTAATAGTATTTCAATATTTTTCTAATTTTCGTCAATAATAAAAATTTATTGTATTATTATTTTTCATTATAAAGAATACACAAAAGTAAAATGGGAAAATGAAAAAAATAATTTAAAAATACAATACATGATGCGATAATTAAAATACAAGATAACAATAAGTGATCTCAATGTACAAATTCAAGATGTCGTAGAGGTTTCAACTCCAAAGGTAGAAATGATGGTAGATGAAAATCTACGGTTTGAATAATCTTTAGCTAGGCATAAAAAAATTAAGGAAAAAAATGTTTATTTTTAACTCCGTAATGCATTAATAGAGAATTTATGGGTGCAACGTAATAATTTTGAAAAATAAGTATTTATGTAATTGTATGTTACTTTTATTTGAATTTGTCCATTAATTTATGTATTATATTATATTTTCTTGCAATTTATATTATTTAAAAACTTAGAATAAAATATAATTTTATATCACATCAAAATTATATAAGTAATTATTTGGGAAAAAAGAAATTAAAGGTTTATATTATGAAAAAAGAAAATAAAAATGAAATAGAAATAATAATATAACATTGTGTAGAGAGAAAAAAACTGTTTTTTAGAGAGTAAAATAGAAAATTGAGTTAGAGTTGGTTGTTTGAAAAAATAGAGAACTCTATATTTGGAAAGTAACATAAAGGATTGGATTGGAGATGCCCTTAAGAATATGCATGCTGAAAAATGAGCTGATATTAATTTAACATTGCAAGCATTTGTACTCTCCGAGAACGCAGAGCCCTTTTTGTGAACGCGTGAATGCAGAGGCTAAAGGCAGTACACTTCACAAATGCAGAGCTCCTAG